ACTCACAAAGGTAGAACAACACGAGCTTTCAAAAACCAAGGAATGGTATAGGATAGATGAGAGCTGCACAGACAGTCCTGTGTATCAGCAGAGTGCCTGCATTAACGCATTTCCGGGGTCACGCCCCCTTCCTTAGAATGTCAGCAATACATTATAAGGCAATACAGAATGGCACCGGTTATAGAGGACTACAAATTTTGATTCAGAACTAAGCAAATCGCACATGTCTTCAGGGCACTGCTTGTTTACAAGACCCACAAGTGCCTCTACAAATGTATATACATTGTATACCCTCTTCCAATGCATATACATAGTCACTCTTTGGCCAATTTTTGGCAACCAAACACATCCATCTTCATTCACTGCATATAAAAATAAATATCACGTTTCTCGTCCAATCGCCTTTCTCGACACTCCCCGCTATTGGGTTTATTTATGTGCAAAGCAGTTTAGCATATTTCTGGATAGGGAGGAAGATTGATGGATGAGAAAACTAATATGTTGCGCTTAGTGTTAATGATCTCTTTGGTTTGGGATAGATGTAGTTGACACTAAACATAATGTCAAACCGTATGTGATAAAAATGTTTCAAACCTATGTGATAAATATTTGTATGTGATAAAATAATTTTTAAATCGTGCTGATTTGTGATCTATAAATAAATAAATATATAAATACAAATATGATCTTTGGTGTTTATTGAATGATGTGTTTAAATTCTACAGTGGTGACTCTAGAATGAAGTGTAAACATTTACCGTAATTGAGGTATATTACCTATACCTAAAAGATAATTAATTCCACTGTGAGTGTCTCAACATAACTTGTTACTAAATTACAATATAGTGAATTATACTGTGCAAAATATGTCCAAAAGGTACAAACTATAAAAAATCAAGAAAATATAAATAATAAAACAATGGGTCCAAAAACCAATTATAAAACTGATGGCATGGGATAAAACAGAGTCGGTATGTTATACCTTGAACTGCTATAATAGGTAGGCCTCTCTGACCTGTACGCCTTCACAGAAGCGATCAGTATATTCAATATAACGTCATAGTATTGGACTGTGAATAATTTTAAAATATAACACATAGAACCACACATCCAATTAATGCAATTATTCACACATGAGATAACTTTTTGACATAGAGAGGGGGGGGGAGGGCAACCGCTAAAAGAAAAGTTTGTTAAAAATAGTGTCTCCCCCCTTACCAGTCTCACAATCTTTCTATGATCATTAAGTTCCTCTGTCCATAATCCGTAAAAAAGAGGAAAAGAAAAAGTATGTCCAACAATAGCCCACTTATCTGTCCTTCCCGAGGTTAAAATCCAGAAAACATTCTGCTCACAAGTAAAAAGTTCTGATATCCTGTATTCACTCTATTACTGAGTAGAAGCAAGCGTTCCTGCCTTTTTCCTCTCAACTTCCCCGTCTAACTTCTCTGCGGCGATGTTAGCAGCCCGCCGGATATGGATTAAACCGGATGGAGGGGAGGACGAGAAAAAAGAGGAATACTTCTAAGTGTAGCAGTAAGATTATTTATTAAGCGCAGAAAACTGTAAACACTTACGAAATTCTGTAGAATTAAAAGCTTTGAGTGAAATAGGACACTCGGCCTTGACGATCATTCAGTGTGATGTAGAGGAATCCCTTTACGCGTTTCGTCCACAAGAGACTTTTTCAAAAGGGTCCACCCTTTTTAACCTCGGGAAGGACAGATAAGTGGGCTATTGTTGGACATACTTTTTCTTTTCCTCTTTTTTACGGATTATGGACAGAGGAACTTAATGATCATAGAAAGATTGTGAGACTGGTAAGGGGGGAGACACTATTTTTAACAAACTTTTCTTTTAGCGGTTGCCCTCCCCCCCCCTCTCTATGTCAAAACGTTCTCTCATGTGTGAATAATTGCATTAATTGGATGTGTGGTTCTATGTGTTATATTTTAAAATTATTCACAGTCCAATACTATGACGTTATATTGAATATACTGATCGCTTCTGTGAAGGCGTACAGGTCAGAGAGGCCTACCTATTATAGCAGTTCAAGGTATAAGATACCGACTCTGTTTTATCCCATGCCATCAGTTTTATAATTGGTTTTTGGACCCATTGTTTTATTATTTATATTTTCTTGATTTTTTATAGTTTGTACCTTTTGGACATATTTTGCACAGTATAATTCACTATATTGTAATTTAGTAACAAGTTATGTTGAGACACTCACAGTGGAATTAATTATCTTTTAGGTATAGGTAATATACCTCAATTACGTTAAATGTTTACACTTCATTCTAGAGTCACCACTGTAGAATTTAAACACATCATTCAATCAACACCAAAGATCATATTTGTATATATATATTTATTTATTTATAGATCACAAATCAGCACGATTTTAAAATTATTTTATCACATACAAATATTTATCACATAGGTTTGAAACATTTTTATCACATACGGTTTGACATTATGTTTAGTGTCAACTAAATCTATCCCAAACCAAAGAGATCATTAACACCAAGCGCAACATATTAGTTTTCTCTGCCTGACTCATACCAACACATTGGTGCAGCTGGTGACTAAATATAGCTACTCCTAGCGCAACTAATTGATTTGAATAATAATAATATTAAGATTGATGGATGGTTCCAACTTCCTCATCATGTAAAAAAGTAAATAGATATTTGCATCTGTTCCCACACCCCTCAGTATCTGCACTCATATAAAATAAGCTCAACAGCCAATGTCCGGGAATAGAGACAGAAGGGACATCTATTTTGAACACACTGGACTGGATGATGGAAAAGTTCCTAATAGTCCTCTTCCTTCTTTCTGCTATCGTAGAACCAGGTACTGTAGACAAATGAGCATATTTTTTATAACTGGGGTCATAGAGCATTCTATAGCAGGGGCGTTTCAAGGGCACCATATTGCACATCCTTTTAAATCATCAGAAATTCATAATGTAATAGAATGATATGCAATATATCCTTGTATGTTTTTTTTTCCATTTTAATTAACCCCCCAAAGAGTATTTATTTCCCCAAACTAGTGCACAAGCAGCCCACAGAAATCTATACAGCTCACCAAAACACTACTGCTCTTAGCCGACATGGAGAGATCTGACATAACTCAAAAATTGGAGTGGCTACTACCTGCAAGAGGCTTCTGAAATTTTTCATTTTTATTTATTTTATTTGTTGGTGAAAGCCAATAAAATGCCTTAGAATCAGGGGCGTAACAAAAGCCATAGCAGCAGACGCGGCTGCTATGGGGCCTGGGGGTGGAAGAGGGGCCCCCATGAAGGATTGCTGAAGTTGCTGTTGACCCTGTACCCCTTATGGCATTTCCAATCAAGAAGATGTACAGGAAGCGACAGCTCTCCCGCGTACCTGTCCTTGATTTAAATTGTAAGGGTTTGCCATGGGGCCCAATTAAAATTTTGCTATGGGGCCCCATGATCCGTTGTTACGCCCCTGCTTAGAATAGTGAATTTCAATAATTTTTTCATTTATTTATTATTTATTTTGTATTATTTCTTTTTTTTTTATATTTTGTATTTCTCTTTTATCATTTTTTGTTACAGAAAAAAATATAAAAAGCTAAATATGGAACACAAAAAATTATAACATTGCAGTGCATAAGAATTTGTTTTGTCTATTTTGTTATTTTGTGTTTTTTTAATTTAGTATATAAAAATACTAGAAAAAGAAGAAAAAAAAAAGAATATATTATAGTGTACTGCCTTTTTAAATTGTATTTAATGTTTTGGCAAAGCAAGCACACGTTTTCATAAAAGTAATTTTTATTCAAGCAAAATTTCAATTTAGAAAATCAGTTTAATAGAAATCACCCCCACCCCGCACCCCGCTTAGATCTAGAGAGGGGAAGACAATGCTGATCTAATAAAACCTTTTCTGGTTAAGAAACTGACTTGGCCAGGGACCCAAGCAAGCTTGCCAGTGGTGGTCACGGCTTGTAAGAAGGGGGTCACCTACCAGACCCCTCCCCATCCTCAATCCCCATAGCAGTGGCATAGGCGGCTGTGACAGAATTGTATATTAAATATGTAGATATGACACACCCTCCAAATATGTATTTATGAAAATTATGTATCACTTAATATGTTTACTTCCTTGTTGGATTATAATATCCTTTCACTCTAACAGACAAACAATAATTACGACTACTTTCTAATTCATCTTCGAAGACATTCCCTGTCACGCCTCAGATATGCAGCTATGGGATCAACATGCAGAGGCATCAACACAATTATCTTTTATCCAGAAATATATTAACTCATCCTGTGCTCTGCCTGACAAACAATTGTCTCACATTTTGCACACTTTGGGAGGCTTAAAGATAACTATAATTATAATCTTTGTACCTAGGGATCAGAGTCCACTCCTTCCCAAAATGAATATGTGATAAATCCTCTGGTAACAATGTTGCACCACACCGGGCAATGGTTTTACGAATATCCTTGGGCATGCCCAGGCTTATACTGTCTCTAGACCAGGGGCGGGCAAACTCCGGCCCTCCAGCTGTGGTGCAACTACAGATGCCATCAGGCATTGCAAGACAGCCATTATGCATTCCTATGATTATTGTGAGGACCTGCACACTACACCAGGTGTCTCGTTCTACAAGAGTTGCCAAGAAGTGGTCCCCGTGCATGCTCTCTAATGTCACCGCAGATGGAGAGTAATCTTTTTGGGCACATCAGACCCCTGCTACAGCAACAGGGCTGCCAGGAAGCACCTAGTAATCAAAACTGACAATGGATCAATAATAAAGACAGAGACCAAATCCACCGAAGAAGCCACCTCAGCCGGTAAAACGCGTCAGTTTTATCCCCACTAAAAATGTTCTTGTTTCCGTCTTTGGAGAGATTTCCCATAACTTCCCTTCCTGACATAACTTTATATATAAACTTTCATCTTAACATAAATATTGTATATTTCAGGTGCATCCCTCTCATGTGTATCCTGCATGAGCACCACTTCCTTGAGTTGTTATGGGGAACTAGAGTCATGTGCTCCACATCATGCGTGTTCATCCACATTCAAAGTGTCATACTTTGGTAAGTCAGAATCCGACATTCCCATCTTCATTCTCATCTCAGTGCAATTCAGCGATGATTAATATATCAATACATGTATTTTATTCAATGCAAGCACACAGAGTGCCTGACTTTGATCAGCATTCAGCCATCTGCTATCAAAGTACAGCCAAGCTGTGAACTGGGAGAAGGGAGAAGCAGCACAAAGAGCAAATCAGTTGAGCTTCAGTGCAAAGAACATGTACTGTAGATAGGAGGGGAGTGGAGAGTGACGGAAAGATGAGCTCTTCAATCTGCTGCTTTTTCTTTTACTGCCTTATCATGAGGTTGGAGTTGGGACAAGACCAGTAAGTGTTCCTGATCCTCAGCAGAGAAAAATCAGGTCTCCTCCCTTGCCAAAAAGGGCTGTGATCAGGGCCGGATTTCCCACAAGGCCAACCAAGGCCCCGGCCTCAGGGCAGCAGGGAGTAGAGGGGCAGCAGGGGTTGTGGAATTCCTATCTCCCGATGCCCGACATGCAGTTGTAGGGGGGCGCATTGAGGAACCTGGCCTTGGGGCAACAGAGAGAGTAAATCCGGCCCTGGCTGTGATGAGTGGCAGAGTTCAGGTTTACAGTCCTGGGCATTTTACACAGAGCATATGATGAAGATGGGGCTGCACAGAGGAACATACAACTGTCTTATGGGGCTGCACAGAGGAACATACAACTGTCTTATGGGGGTGCACAGAGGAACATACAACTGTCTTATGGGGGTGCACAGAGGAATATACAACTGTCTTATGGGGCTGCACAGAGGAACATACAACAGTCTTATGGGGCTGCACAAAGGAACATACAACTGTCTTATGGGGGTGCTCAGAGGAGCATACAATTGTCTTATGGGGCTGCACAGAGGAGCATACAACTGTCTTATGGGGCTGCACAGAGGAACATACAACTGTCTTATGGGGGGTGCACAGAGGAACAACAACTGTCTTTATGGGGCTGCACAGAGGAACATACAACTGTCTTATGGGGGTGCACAGAGGAACATACAACTGTCTCATGGGGGTGCACAGAGGAACATACAGCTGTCTTATGGGGCTGCACAGAGGAACATACAGCTGTCTTATGGGGCTGCACAGAGGAACATACAACTGTCTTATGGGGCTGCACAGAGGAACATACAACTGTCTTATAAGGGGCTGCCCAAAGGAACAATCAACTGTCTTATGGGGGGTGCACAGAGGAACATACAACTGTCTTATGGGGCTGCACAGAGGAACATACAACTGTCTTATGGGGGTGCACAAAGGAACATACAACTGTCTTAAGGGGGTGCACAGAGGAGCATACAACTGTCTTATGGGGCTGCACAGAGGAACATACAACTGTCTTATGGGGGTGCACTGAGGAGCATACAACTGTCTTATGGGGCTGCACAAGGGAACACACAACTGTCTTATGGGGGTGCACAGAGGAACACACAACTGTCTTATGGGGCTGCACAAAGGAACATACAACTGTCTTATGGGGCTGCACAAAGGAACATACAACTGTCTTATGGGGCTGCACAGAGGAACATACAACTGTCTTATGGGGGTGCACAGAGGAACATACAACTGTCTTATGGGGCTGCACAGAGGAACATACAACTGTCTTATGGGGGTGCACAGAGGAACATACCACTGTCTTATGGGGGTGCACAGAGGAACATACAACTGTCTTATGGGGGTGCACTGAGGAGCATACAACTGTCTTATGGGGCTGCACAGAGGAACATACAACTGTCTTATGGGGCTGCACAGAGGAACATACAACTGTCTTATGGGGGTGCACAGAGGAACATACAACTGTCTTATGGGGCTGCACAGAGGAACATACAACTGTCTTATGGGGCTGCACAAGGGAACATACAACTGTCTTATGGGGCTACACAAAGGAACATGCAACTGTCTTATGGGGCTGCACAAGGGAACATACAACTGTCTTATGGGGCTACACAAAGGAACATACAACTGTCTTATGGGGCTGCACAGACATACTTTAGTTCTGTATCTCTGTTTTTTACCTTCTTTAGCTGACGGACAAATCTCGTATCAGACTATCCGTTCGTGTATTCCGGAATTCCAGTGCGGTCTCTATGGAACCCTGACTTTACTAGATGCCAATATTGTCATGGGAATAGGTTGCTGCAAGAAAGATGGGTGCATACCATCAGTAATGGCACGTAAGTGATCCTCTGTATTGCCAAGCTTCATTTGGTCATTAGGCTACCATTGTAATAGGCTTGATAGGCAGCTCTATTTCTAATTAAGAGGCATGTTTTTTAAATGCAGACCTATGCATCCTACATAACTGCACGTACATTCATTCCATGCGAAAAAAGAGCATTATTTGTATATTTTCTTTTCAAGTAAAATGTAATATCAGGAAAATACCTCATTGTGGCCACTAGATGGAGATAAGTATTTATTTCCTATGCTCCACAGCTCCATCTAGTGGCCATAATGAGGTATTTTCCTGATATTACATTCAACCTGTGAAGAAAATATACTAATTACATTGATTTCTGCCTCAACTCACAGAGAATGATTGTATGCAGAGCTTTGCAGGGCAAAATGCTCTGCCAATTATTTTTTATAAATACACCCCATAGTGTTTGTCACTGCCACTGCCAGTGTCTGCAGGTAAGCAACTTTGCAACCATCTCACAAATTAACAGTTTGCTTAAGAAAGCTTTATACAGTGAGGCACAATGCCAAACATACTGCAGTACAGTGGCGTCTCACAGGGGGTTGCGTCCCGCACTCTGTTGACACCATTGGAGGGGTGACACCAAAATGACTGACATGGACCGAAAGCCCGGCAGTGTCAGGAGAGAGGAGCAGCATACCTCATCCCGCCGGGTTAACATCCCCTCCTCTCCCTGCCGATGCCCACCGCTAAGATGGTCACCGGCAGGCGTCAATTAGACGGCCGCACATGCGCGATGAAGTCCCGGCGGGGTGTCACCCGGTCTCCGCTCTAACTATGAAGGTCTATTTTTTTTAATCCCTTCTGGTCTGTTAAATATACCATTGGAAGAATTATTTTTTTAGTATTGGTTTCATAAGAAACCTGCTGATCCTGTCTGAATTTCAGTGCTATCTTATGCCCTGTGCCCCCTTCCTGTGTTATCTCTAACAGCCCTCCTAGGTCTTATCTTGGACTATGGAATAGTTAGCCTTTATGTTGTAGAGATACAACAATGGCAGTGGTCAGATAGTAAAAGCAAAAGATAACTGGGCAGGGCTGACACCACTCAGTCCACACAAAACTTTCTGTGTGTTGTCAGCTCACAATAGGATATTAAGAATTTTAGCCTTCAGCACAAGCCCATTCATCTAACTTTGCAGTATTTCTATTTCTCTACAGGAAGGCCTGTAAATGCAAAACCGAATGGCGTGAGATGCAAAACTTGTACAAGTGCCACCGCCGAATTCTGTGACACTGATGAAACCATGGAGTGCAGCGGAAATGAGGACCGGTGTATCAACTATGGATTAATAATCTCTTCAAGTAACTATATGCTTTTTTTAAAATAATGACTTAATCAAATGTGATATGCGTTATGAGTGCCGGTGCAGACCTGAGCGGTCCGGGACACGCGTCCCGGGATCGCACAGTGCTGCACAATTACAGACAGCGATTGCCGCGCAGCCCCATTGATTTCAATGGGGTAAAGCCACGCGGCAATCGCAGAAAAAAAGGTACGTGTTTTTGCGATACACGCCGTGCGGTGTTTGGAGGCACAGGCAGAATCGCGGCGGGAAACCGCACGATCCGCCCGGCACGACTGGGGTGCCATTAGAACAAATGGCACTCACATCGCGACCGCACGGCAATCTGCGTGGTATTGTGCACGTTTGCAGTGCGGTCACGGATCGCCTAGGTGTGCACCGGCCCTTAATGTGTCCAATGTGTATTAGACTGTTCCTTAGAGCAGCGTTTCCCAGCTTTTTCATTCTGGGTATACACAGGGCTGGATTTACTCTCTCTGCTGCCCCAAGGCCAGGTTCCTCAATGCGCCCCCTACCCGCCAAGATCACTCACCTCAACTATGAGGTGAGTGAAGATCACTCACCTCATAGTTCTAGCCGACCTGTGACAATGAAACTGTCACAGGTCGGCTCAATAGATCGGGAAGTGAGAGAACACATACCGTCGCTCGCTCATTTCCCGATCATGTCTCTGCATAGAGCCGTGACTGTCACTCACGGCTCCCTGCAGCGATCCCCCCCTCCCCTCCCCTGTCCGATCCTCCAGCACTAACTGGCGAAACGGACGGGGGCAGGTACAGCTGGCTCTGCCTCTAGATAGGCAGAGCCAGCTGTCAATCACGCAGCTAGGTGGATCTCGACAGTAATGTCGGGATCCATCCCGGCTGCGGTGTCTTAGTATACCGCGAGCTGTAGCTCATGATATACTGACCTTTGGGTCACGGGAGGATGCTAGTTTGTGTGCTCCCGGGACCCATTGGAGAACTATGGGTAAAAGCGCTGACCCCATAGTTCTCCTTTAAGGAATCAGTTTGGAAAGCACATGCTGCAACAAGAGCTATTTATTCAGAACAGAAACAGGTAGAAAACTGCAACAGTTAAGTCTGTTAAAATCCTTGCAAAGTACACACTTCACCCGACTGAGAGGAACATGAGTGATCCCGGACTTATAAATCCCCAACATGGACTCACCCCCATCCCCCTTCATATTATTCCTTACCCCTGATAATGTCTGTGACGGACTGAACCGTCACTTGTGCTGTTGGAGGAGCCTGGGGGCTAGCCTCCTTCCAACTGACTATGGACCCAGAACTATGGAGACCCCCCTCGGACCTCTTGGGGTTACAATGAACCATTCTACCAGGTTTATGTGTGGGGGGATGTACTGTACATGTTCCCTGGCATTACATTTGGATGACCCTGTGTGTATTATAGGTACAGGCTGTGACTCCAGGAGCACTGAAGGGTGATAATTCTGGACATTGAACTGTTACAGTTTATTGGTCCCTTTGTTGTATTGTGTTGATGATGGGATTAGGATAGCTGATTCTAGGAGTAGCTGACTCTGGGTGTAGATGAATAGATCACACTATGATACACTCAGGAGATAATCCCATCACACGTGTCTCCTCTCTCCCTATTCATTCATTAAGGCATCGGGCAGGGGGAGTGGATGTTTGCATGCTGTTCATCAGGGCCGGACTGGCCATAGGGCATACCGGGCATTTTCCCGGTGGGCCGGGCCGAACACATTCAGCCTGATTGTGTTCGGCGCGGCACGCTATGCCCGATGCAGAGTGTCGGGCACTAGCCTGCCCACAATATATGCATCAGCCGCGCTGCTCCGAGTCCACCTGCACACCTTACCGGGTTTCCTTGTTTCCCCCTTCTGTATGTGTCCCCTTATCGCAGCTCAGTGTGAGCCGTTGCAGCTGACAGCTCCGTGTCACTCAGCACTGGCACTGTTTAACCGCCCAGGATATCGGAGGCCAGTTCAAGATGCCTAGATCCCGTTCGGGACTCTGCTGGTTCCTCTGCCCCACTCTCCACGCTACATGTGTCACTATAGCAACAGGGGGACGCCATACACCCGATACTTTGGGTGTTAGCCGTGGCATAACTATTATCAGGGATGGAGGAGGCTGGGGCCCGGCGGTGGAGGAGGCCAAGGCCCAGCCGTGGTGGCGGAGGAGGAGGCCGGCAGCCCCGGTGTCAGTAGTCAGGGGCCGACAGCAGCGGTGGCGATAGTCGGGGGCCTAGTGGTGGCCACACTGCTGAAGAAGGAGGTCAGGCCCGCCGGCGACAGCTGAGGAGTCGGGGGCAAGGTGGCGGCAGTGAAGAAGGAGGCCGGTGCCTGGAGATGGAGGAGGCCGTGGCCCAGCAGCGGGCTGCTTGGGGCTGACAGGTAAGAGGAGCAGGCAGAGGGACCCCAACCAGCCCACCTGCGACTCTGCAGAGCCCACCATAGAGAGTCTATGGTGGGCTCTGCGGGGTCACTCTCAGGTGGGCTGTGCGGGGTCTCTGGTGGACTATGTGGGTTCTCTGGTGGGCTCTGCTGGGTTGCAGGTGGGCTCTGCTTGGTCTGCGGTGTCTGTGGTGGGGTCTGCAGAGTCTCTGGGGGGTCTCTGCTGGGCTCTGGGGGTCTTTGATGGGCCTGCGAGGTCTCTGCTGGGCCTGCAGGGTCTCTGGTGGGCGCTGTGGGGTCTCTGGTGGGCTCTGCTGGGCCTCTTGTTGGCTCTGCGGGGCCTCTGCAAGGTCTCTGCTGGGTTCTGTGGGGCCTCTGGTGAGCTCTGCAGGGACCCTGGTGGGCTCTGCTGGGTTGCAGGTGGGCTCTGCTTGGTCTGCGGTGTCTGTGGTGGGGTCTGCAGAGTCTCTGGGGGGTCTCTGCTGGGCTCTGGGGGTCTTTGATGGGCCTGCGAGGTCTCTGCTGGGCCTGCAGGGTCTCTGGTGGGGTCTCTGGTGGGCCTCTTGTTGGCTCTGCGGGGCCTCTGCAAGGTCTCTGCTGGGTTCTGTGGGGCCTCTGGTGAGCTCTGCAGGGACCCTGGTGGGCTCTGCTGGGTTGCAGGTGGGCTCTGCTTGGTCTGCGGTGTCTGTGGTGGGGTCTGCAGGGTCCCTGCTGGGCTCTGGGGGGTCTCTGCTGGGCTCTGGGGGTCTTTGATGGGCCTGCGAGGTCTCTGCTGGGCCTGCAGGGTCTCTGGTGGGGTCTCTGGTGGGCCTCTTGTTGGCTCTGCGGGGCCTCTGCAAGGTCTCTGCTGGGTTCTGTGGGGCCTCTGGTGAGCTCTGCAGGGACCCTGGTGGGCTCTGCAGGATCTTAGGTGGGTGCTGTGGATTCTGCAGCATCTCTGGTGGGCTCTGCAGGGTCTCTGGTAGGCTGTGGTGGGTCTGTGGGGTCCCTGATGGGCTTGCAGAGTCTCTTGTGGGCTCTGCGGGGTCTCTGGTGGTCCCTGCTGGGCCTGCAGGGTCTCTGGTGGGCTTTGTGGAGTCTCTTGTTGGCTCTGCAAGGTCTCCGCTGGGCTCTGTGGGGCCTCTGGTGAGCTCTGCAGGGACCCCGGTGGGCTCTGCAGGATCTTAGGTGGGTGCTGTGGATTCTGCAGGGTCTCCGGTGGGCTCTGCAGGGTCTCTGGTAGGCTGTACTGGGCCTATGGTAGGATCTGCAGGGTGTCAGCTGGGCTCTGGAGGATCTTAGGTGGGCGCTGTGGGCTCTGCAGGGTCTCTGGTAGGCTGTGCTGGATCTATGGTGTGATCTGCAGGGTGTCAGGTGGGCTCTGCAGGATCTTAGGTAGGCGCTATGGGCTCTGCAGGGTCTCTGGTGGACTGTGCTTGGTCTATGGTGGGCTGTGCAGCAGTGAGCCGGCGGAGTGAAAAAAAGGTATCGGTAATTGGTATCGGCGAGTACTTGAAAAAAAGTGTTGGTACTCGTACTCTGCCTGGAAAAAATGGTTTCACTGCATCCCTAGTGATAATATTTTTATACTTAGGGATGCACTGATACCGTTTTTTCGGTATCGAGTTCGAGTACCGATATTTTGCTTTCGGTACTCGTTCATACCGAGTACTGATACCGGTGCTTCCGGTGGCATAAAGTGGGCTTCCTGGGCAATCTGATTGCCCAAGAAGCTGGCTCCATGTTGTTTGGCTGGATTGATTGTGATTGGCTGGGAAACCAGCTTCCCAGTCAATCAGCATCAAGCCGGCTTCCTGGCCAATCTGGAAGTCGGGCAGCGAGTAATGACCCACGTCTCAGCTTCCTGATTGGCGGGGAAGCCGGCTTGATGCTAATTGGCTGGAAAGCCGGCTTCTCAGCCAATCAGCATCGAGTCGGCTGTTTGCCCGGCTCGATGCTGATTGGCTGAGAATCTGAGTTCCCAGCCAGTCAGCAAGGAGCTGGCTGTTTGGCTGGCTCGATGCTGATTGGGCAGGAATCCAGCTTGCCGGCTAATCAGCATGGAGCTTGCTGTTCAGCCTGCTCGATGCTGATTGGCCGTGTAATCAGCATGGAGCCGGCTTCCTGGCCAATCAGGAACCTGGGAAGCTGGTCATTACTTGCCGCCCATCTTCCTGATCGCCCCGGGAAGCTGGCTCCATGTTCCCTTATGGCACTGACCTAAAGTTCTGGTATCGGAGCAATTGGTCGAATACAAGTACTCGCCCAAATACTTGGTATGGGCACCGATACTAGTATCGGTATCGTTGCATCCCTAATTATAATATGGTTTTTTTCCTAAGCTTTCTGACTTACTGAATACTTATTTGTACACCGTGCACCCATATTTATCCTATTTATCTGCCTGTCCCATGTACTGTATATGCCATCCATAGAGTCTACCCTGTTTATATATGTTGTCCCTTGTAATAAGGCTAATTAGGAGGTCGCCTAATTTGCCTAATTAGAGAGCTGCCTGTTCTCCTGGCAGCCTGCATTTTATTACCCCGTACGCCTGCTGTAAATTCAGTGACCATCCACCTGAGTGTCAGCATTCTTTGTTACCCATAAAGCTTTCAACTCGGAGTGTAAATGACATTTTGCAGCAGAGTTCCCCGTTTTGGCTCTGAAAGACCTGCCAAAAGCTGTCAGTGCGGTGTTGGTGTGGTTCGCCTGTCTATGGAATTGGTGGTTTCATGCCGGTGTTGCTGGAGAACTGTGAGTGCTATTTTGGGAGCAATGACCTGTACATCATGGTGAGGGTGCAGAGGATGGCTGAGGAGGCAGAGATCTGCTGAGAATATCACAAGACTTCTCTGTAGCAAGCTTCCTATATTGTTGCAAGGTTTGTATTCTGGTTGCAACAAGGCTTGTGTGTCGGCTGTAGCCCTCCTGTACTTACTAGTAGCTGGCACCGCCCCTCAATTGAGCTTCTGTGTCTGGCTCCGCCCCCGGATTGCAATGGGGCGGGGCCTGGTCGGTCACATGATTGGGCTGCTCAGTGTAAAATGCCCAGGCCTATTTTTTTCCCAGTCCGGCCCTGCTGTTCATGTTTGATTGCGTTATGTGCTTAGACTTCTTGAACTGTATATATACTGAGCTGGTCTTCAATAAAGCAGATTCCTGTTGGAACTTACATACAGCCTGCCTGCCTGGTGTTTGTTCTGAGCTGGATTCGAACGGCACATAGCTGTATCCCGGATTATCGGACGATCGAAGAATCAGACGTTGCGGTCTGACATCTGATCCAATAGCAGCAGAGGAGTGCCCGGGAGAGTGGAACCGAACGAGCAGGGGCTCGTTACAATGTCAATATAACCTCTCCATATGCTTTGGCAATGCTAAATGTATTTGGTCGTGCTAATAAAGCTTATTTGAATTGGAGAGAGAGAGAGAGAGAGAGAGAGAGAGAGAGAGAGAGAGAGAGAGAGAATTGACGTTTTCCTGAACAAAGTCGAGTTACTCTTTACCTCTGTTACATAAAATTAAGAGAAATAATTATATCAGCATTTTCTGTTCCTACAGGGTTTGATTATAAACCTTTTTCATTTCGCGGCTGTGGCACCAAGGCACTATGTGACGTCCAAAGTTATACCTCATCTGCCTATCGTGTTGACGTTGAAAATCGATTTACCTGTACGGAGGCAGAGGCTGATCCCAGCAGTGTAAGAGAAATCCTTACCGATCCCAGCAATGAAAATAACAGTACATCTCCTCCCAGCAGTGAAGGAGACATCATTACCGATCCCAGCAATGCCAGCACCCGTCATTCTGTACATCCCCCTGATCAATAAAGATCTCTAACAGTCTTCCGACAAGTTTCTGAATACACGGAAAGACACAGCTAGACAGTTTCACCTTTTAAAGTGGAACTATAGTGGAAAATAAAATACATATATGATGCGGTCTGTCAGTCACATTAACATTTATATTAAAATATATATTTACTGCATGGTTCCAAATAAAAAATGGTGATGTAAACTTAACTTACTTGTTATTTAATGTTTAAAAGTATATTTTATATTTATTTGTTTATTACACGGCCACACTTCTCTTTCTTCTACGACCCGAAGTGGGAAGGGAGAGAGAGAGAGAGAGATGGAGAGAGAGAGAGATGGAGAGAGAGAGAGATGGAGAGAGAGAGAGGG